TAAATAGTTGCTTGTTTCCAACAAAATTTCTCAATCTCAATATATATCCGATATCGGAAAATTTAAGCTTTTCCAAAGTATTACGTAATGTTAAAGCCTCTTCACCAATTGTCATGAATGAAGTGTAAAGGTGACTTAGATAAGTTAGGTGCGCTCTAATTCTAGTGAGATGTGTCATAATAACATAGTAATGTTCTTAAACTCAGGAAACCTTTAAGGGAAGGGATCTCTATTTTTCAAAAAAAAAAAGGATACTCTCTTGACTGTTAGATCTGACTTTAATGAAATTATGTGGTTGAGATTCTGTGGCCTGTGATTTAATCTCAACCACATAATTTCATTAAAACCAGATATAACGGTCAAGAGGGTGTTTCCATTTTTTTGAAAAATATGGATCATTTTCCTTAAAGAGCCTGCTTAAACTCATATTCTTACACTATATATATAACACTATATATATATATATATGCATCTTTACGGATAACAATTAATTGGTTTTGAGTTGGATGCTCTATTTCTTTTTCTTTCTTTTTTTATATTAAAAAAAAACAACTGGTCTACTCCTTTCTAGCATAATATGTAACGTTGTACATTTTTAAATGAGAAATGAAATACCTTGTCTTAGAAAATTAAATTATTTAGACTCTTCAATTATATCCAAAATTTTGAATTGATGTTCAATTAATTAATTATATGGAAAAGTTGATTTTAGCCCAATTCTTATAACGTATTACAATTCAAAATTGTATATTTTCAAATTTAACCATTTGACTAGCTTTCCAATCAAACTTTTTCTTTTTAAGGTGATGAGTCAGATTAGGGTTTAGAAAAACTCTGAGCGAATTTTTCATACCTATTTGAACTATGAACTTGAGACTATATATTTGATAGGGTAATGCTAGGAATGTAAATCAGATTTTATAAACCATATGATATGATTATTGATGATTTGATTTAAATAGTTGATCTCCTTAGCATTACTTTATCAAACATATGGCCTTGTGTTGATAGTTCTACAAAGGTAGGGCAGTAGCATGCTAAAAACACAACTGAAGAGAGATAAAACAAAACGTGAGAAAGCAATGATTCAAACAAAAATATTAGAACGGCAGCTGAATCCTTGGGATGTTGTCTACCGAACTTCATTTTCTTTCAATGGCAGTTTTTGTAATTTGTAATGAAAACTATGGCTATATTTCACTTACATGGATTATCTTTCTAACTTATACGAATTATATTTAAAGCTATAAATATATATTGGTTTGATCTGGTGGAGAATATTATCACTACTTCAGTGGCAACGAGAAGGATATCCAATATTCTGAGACTGAGTACTGGTTTGGTATTAATGTTTTTTTATAAAAAGTGGGTATAAAAAAAATTGAGCTCAAAAAGGTGTTTGTTAAACACTTAAAAACAACTTATTTTCATAGTTTTTGGTGAAAAAAGCTAAAAAGTGAAGCAATGTTGGATTATATGTTGAATGTTGGATTATGATTTCTTGTTAAACGTTGGATTATGATTTATTGTTAAACGTTAGATTATATGTTTAAGATAAAATTTATAAATAATTTTCTTTTTAAAATAAAGTATATTTAGTAACTCACCTTTATTTGTTAAGAAAATTAAATTAATGGCACATCTAATACCATTTTTGGTTATTTCACACAGTCACAACTGTTTTATATAAAAGTTTACTAAACACTATAATACTTTTTTTTTTTTCCAAAAGCACTTTTACAAAAAAGTTTACTAATCACTCTGCTGTTTATTCTCACAACACAACAGAAACAGTTTTTTTTCTTCAAAGCATAACAATACCAAATCAGCCCCGAACACCATGATTTATCTACTTTAAGACCCAATCAAACTCTTACAAATAAAAAAGTATGAAAGATATTGGATTGGATTGAACACACCAATATATTGGGTGCTTCCATTTTAAGCATATACTTAAATGTATTTATATTATTGTAGCATAAAACCCCATTCCACGTTTGCTAGCATGGACAACCCATTGCGGAAATATTTGCCATAACTCTTTTGGTCCTGTATTATTCTCATCCCAATGTTTTGCTTGCATTACATGCACAAAAGGAAAATGGCCCCCTTTTTGCCGATAAATATTCAAAAAATAATGCGTTTATGAGTGTATTTTTCTTCTTCTAAATATCGAAAGTTTGGAGTGCAAAATAAGAATTTTGGAGTGCCAATAACAATTCCCTATATATATATATATTGTCCTACTTATTGCCAATAAATAATGCGTTCATGAGTTTCTTTTATTTTTTTGCTTTTCTAAATATTCTATTATTTTTTTTCTTTATTCGATTTAGAAGATAGATATAAAAAGAAGGGATGTGATATCCACATACTCCTTTTTACTCTCTCACATTTTTTTGGTTTTCGGCCGTCGGATCGGATGAATTGAAGAAGATCAACAGACAGAAATTAACAAGGAGTGTGTGAGAAGTAAAAAATAGTGTGTGGATAGCATACCCCTAAAAAGAAGTGTATGTCAGGAATGATTTAACTTTACCAACCTACTTTCATGCACTTAATTTCTAGATGGGAATAATTGGAGAGAAGTTGGATATTGACTTTGTAATATCCACCGGCGATAATTTTTACGAAAATGGATTGACGGGCATCGATGATCCACAATTTGAAGACTCATTTAGCAAAATCTACACAGCACCAAGCTTGCAAAAGCAGTGGTACAGTGGTATGTATTCCCAAACCTTAATTATATATTCACTTATAAAACAATAAGGAATTTTCTTTAAATTAAAAATATTAATTCATGTTTGTCTTTGTTTAATTATTGTATTGCAGTTCTGGGTAACCATGATTATAGAGGGGATGTTGAGGCACAGTTGAGTCCTGTCCTTAGGGAATTGGATAGCAAATGGCTTTGCTTGAGATCCTTCATAGTTGATGCCGGTAAGGCTAAGGCCATACTACATAACTATTATCAATAATTAATTATAATCTAAACAGGAGATTTAGTTTTTTAATAAGGATTTTTTTTTTTTTTGTTATTTATCTCAAAGTTATTTGCCTATTTTGGCAGAAATTGTGGAAATCTTCTTTGTGGATACAACTCCCTTTGTTGATAAATACTTCACTGATCCGGAGGGCTCTGTCTATGACTGGAGTGGCATATTACCCCGAAATTATTACCTATCAAATCTTCTCAAGGTAATTTGTTTTCTCGTCAAACATAATTAAGACTTACGACTAAATAAATTAACTTTAAAATATCTCCAAACAATTTTTAGAAACCCAAAAAATTAGCTCTATGCCTGCAGTTGTCTCTATACATTAGAGATGATATCTGTAATTAATAATTTGAATTTTTTCTCTGTGAAAGGATGTGGATTCAGCATTAAAAGATTCTACTGCAAAGTGGAAGATTGTGGTTGGTCACCACACGATTAGAACCGCTGGATATCATGGTGAAACGAAGGAGCTTGTAACACAGCTTCTCCCAATTCTTCTGGTACTTTACTCATGCTAAAACTAGAAAGGAAAACCAAAACGGTCGCCTTTTTCCCTTGTTTGTCTTTTTGCTCAAATGTCTATAAATTTTCAGGAAAACAATGTCGATCTTTACGCCAATGGCCACGACCATTGCTTAGAACACATAAGCAGTCCCAACAGGTACTAGCATTTTGTAACTCTTTAATACACATAAATTTAACAAATGAATCGATTTTATGTGTCTAAATAAAATTATTGTTCTATTAGTATATAACTACTTTTGTACATGGGATCTAATCTGAAGCATTTCTGTGCAGCCCACTTCAATTTCTAACAAGTGGTGGTGGTTCAAAGGCATGGAGGGGTGTAGTTAACCCGTACAGCCCAAGCGAAATGAAGTTGTACTACGATGGGCAGGGTTTCATGTCAGTGCAAATCAATCAAACCGAATTGGATATTGCATTCTATGATGTTTTTGGCAATGTCTTGCACAAATGGGGGACATCAAAGCCGCACTACTCTTTCATGTAGAGAGGTGGACATGCAGAAGTATATGCAATCTGTTTAAGGTTCTTAGTCTGCTATATATATATATTGTAAAGCAAGTAACAAGAGGCAATATTTTATAAGTGCCTATGTGATTAATGGAAATTATTTTGCTTAATCTTGCTAGCTGATCTGCTTAAACATAATTAAACTATTAATAGGAAGAAAACTGATCGCTTGTTCCTTTTCGGAAAGTAGCCCATCATTTTGAAGGACGAAGTAAATTCCGGCCTAGTCCATGAAAACCTAGCAGATGTTTGAATTATGGGATATGGGAATGCGATTCAAACTTGGGGGAAAAGTTCACTCTCCTTTAATTTGTAATTTATCTTCCTTTTCTTTTTCATATCTTTTTTTTTGTTTTGTATTATAACAAGTTAAGTTTATGTCTTCTTGGACTAGACATACTATTTTTTTTCGATGTCAATAAAATTCCCTACTTACCGTCGAATTTTCTAAAAATAAAAACAATTCGAACATAAATGAAAATATGAGTAATTGAAGCGAATGGTTGAAAACTAATAAAAGGAAGATTTGATGTTAATGATGGTGTACCAAAGTGTATACGGACGTTAAGTATAAGCTGTTCATTTATAGGGTTTTTGATAAACTTTTTTCTTTGTGGAAGATTAGGTGAGTTAGAATGACGTGGAGAGAGATTGAGACAAGGGGGGTTCGAAAAGAGAGTTAAGAATATTGCATTTATCATTTTATGGAAATGATAAATGCACATATTTTTTTGTATAGGCATTTTTTTAACAGCTATCTCTCTACCAAAGTCCGAGCTTTGAGATTATAAAAAACAAAGAAAAATGTTATGAATATTGCATTTCGTACTACATTGACATATTATCTAATGTGACAAGTGATGCACACATATTACGTCAATTAATCAATTGATCTCATTGTATGTTGGTTTCACACATTATTGGTACCTTAGTATAAATATTTGGTTTCACGAGTACCACTCAAAAAGAAATTATAAGATAAATTCTACAAGATCTGATGCGATTTTTCTAGAAAAATTAAATAAAAAGGAATAAATGAGGGTTCTTTTAGAAAAGCTGATACTATTGGGAACTTCAGGTCGTATATATATAGCTCTTCATCAAAGCCACTTGACTCAATTCTCTCAGAGTTTTCTGCGGAAAACTCAAACTCTCGTGGCTTCTTTGTCTAATACTTCTAATAATCATAAAGCCATGATTTCCTCCTTTCACTTCAAGGGATGCCTCCTGTCACTTTGTTTGGTTGCTTGCGCAGCTGAGCTTCAACGTTTTAAGCAGGCACCAAAACCAGATGGCTCTCTCAGCTTCCTGGTTGTCGGAGATTGGGGAAGACGGGGACAATACAACCAATCTCAAGTTGCTCTCCAGGTACGTTCTACATATGTATCATTTCATTTAAAATTTTCATTGTTATCATCTCTGTGTATTTTACATTTAAATGTTTGCATGCTTTTGCATGCTTTTGCATGTATATGATGTCGTTAATTTCATTGATTTAAGCTGATTCACTTACCTCATTTACATGCCTAATTATATTACTACGTTTCTTTCAAAAAATTTCACCATCTTTTGACAAAATTAAGCGATACTAAAATTTCATGAATTAAACTGAAAATTTACGCAAATAAAGGAAGAATATAAACGGTATTTGGGCCTTACCGACACTTAAAATATATATTGTGGATGAAAATAAATGAAAAGGTACCACAAATTGGTGTGCAGTCAAGTTCTTTGAATTTGAAGGTACAATTCCAGGCATATACCATATCAGTATCACTCTTTACATAAGCCTTGTTTGGGAGGGTATATTTCCAAGCATATCCTCTAGTACAAGCTAAGGCCAGAATTTGATACTCCATGCATATTCCAAAGGAGAAGGATTGTCTGCCATCCACTTCCGGTGCCCTTCTTGTGCCCTCCTGATTTGTGTGGTCACGATTAAGCCACGTCAATATTTTATATTGTTTTTTTATAGATATAATAAGACAAAAATAAATAGTAATTAAAATGTTGACGTGACTTAACCGTAACCACACAAACAGAAAGGCACATGAAAGGTACCGGAAGTGGAAGCAGACAATCCTTGTCCTATTCCAAAAGGGTCGTTTTCTGTCTCCAGTCTAGCAGTTTTCTTTCAATTTGGCAACCATCCCATCACTCACAGTATCCTTACTTATTTGGTACGTACCTGTGACTTTCAGCTCAAGAAAGATCTTGACTGGTTGTTTTGACTATTAGAGATGTTCATTCGGCAATGCATGTGGTTTAACTTAAGCAGATTTTATTAACTTTAATCCCTAATTAATTATTACTGACTTTATGTCGAAATTACTTGCGGATTGTAGATGGGGTTAATTGGAGAGAAATCAAACATAGACTTTGTCATCTCCACTGGTGATAATTTCTACGAAGATGGTTTGACAGGCGTCGACGATCCAGCATTTAACGAATCGTTTTCCAATATTTATACTGCTCCCAGCTTAAAGAAGCAATGGTACAATGGTAAATTACTTACTTACTCAGTTAATTATACCACACGTAATAATTCTAAGCAATTATGTATCCTTAATGGTATATTAAGTGGTTAATTTGTTTCATGCAGTGTTGGGCAACCATGACTATCGGGGTGATGTTGAAGCACAATTGAGTCCCGTTCTCAGGGCAATTGACAGTAGATGGTTTTGCTTAAGATCATTCATTTTAGATGCAGGTAGTATTTATTCGCACTCATTAATTAGTCACTAATAAGCCTTTTACCGATTTTATTATGTGCAACTAATATGTTTTGCTATTTGTCGGTACTCCAGAAATCGTAGATTTTTTCTTTGTGGACACAACCCCATTTGTGGATGATTACTTTACAAATCCAAAGGAGCATACTTATGATTGGAGAGGTGTGACTCCTCGGGCGGAATACCTTTCAAATCTCTTGAAGGATGTGGATTCAGCACTAAAAAATTCCACAGCAAAATGGAAAATTGTGGTCGGTCACCATACTATTAAAAGCGCAGGACATCATGGTGTCACCGAAGAACTTGTAAACCAACTTCTCCCAATCCTTAAGGTAACCTAGATGTTCCTAAACAATGCATTGACCCTTACTCTTGAGGTCTTACGTTTGACTTCTTCTTTTTAATATCGCTTGTTTGATTCTAACTTTTTATTTTCACTCCCACTTTTCTCCAGTCAAATAATATCGATTTTTACGTAAATGGACATGACCATTGCTTGGAGCACATAAGTGATTCTGATAGGTAAATTTGTACACACAAAAACTTGATATTAACCTGGTATTACATACGTAAGCACAAATTAATTTGGTTTAACTGGTTGTTAATTATGCAGTCAAATTCAGTTCTTTACAAGTGGAGGTGGGTCCAAGGCATGGAGAGGTGATATAAAGTCGTGGAGTCCAGAGGAGTTGAAGTTGTATTACGACGGACAAGGTTTCATGTCGTTTCACATGTCCAAGGCCAGTGCTGATGTTGCATACTATGATGTCTCTGGCAATGTCTTACACAAATGGAGCCTTTCCAAAGAGATCGACTCAGCCACTCACAGAACATTCACCTACTCTTAAAATAGTAACTCTGCCAGTTTAGTTATTGGAAAATAAAACTTACTCGTGTATAAGGCATCGTGAACATATCTGTTACACAAAAATTTCAATAATTGCAGTATAAATTCTTTAGTGATCTAGCTTAATCTAGTCTAAATTACGGTGTGGAGAATTCAAATGTTGGGGCAAAGAGGGAGGCACACTGCCTTGGCCAACTTGGCTACGCCTTATACCAAAAGAAAATGACAGTCAGCATTGGTATGAATACCCGAAGTGCATGCAGTATGTTGATGAAACTCGTGGTCAAACAACTCATCTCCCCTTGCTAATCGCGGTGGCTCCATCGTTAACTCGGCAATGTTGTAACAGTGTGACGGAAAAGTAGCTCATATCCAAGAACATGCAGTCTTGCCTGGCATATATCAAAACCCAACTGGTGATCAGAGGAAGTTTGGTCGGGTGAAAACCAGTACATATTACTAGATGCTGGCAAAGGTAGTCATAATTTATGAACATGATCATGCAGCAGACTCTGTGAGAGAAAGATATACGTTAATTATCCTCGTCATAACTAGCATCACGACTGAACCATAATGCCAGCGTGAGTCTTTCGCCATCAGTTATCTGCCAAATGATATCAGACAGCAAATCAGACCCACCAAGGAAAAAAGGATGTTGTGGCTGTCAGCTGTGTATATCACAACATCCTGACAAATATGTTCTCATTAATTTTGGTGGCGATGAGGTGCGCGACAGTGGTCGAGAAAACATTGGGTCTGTAGCCAGCCCAAATGGGTGAGCTAGCTCCTTGCATTCTTGGAGGGAAAGGAATTCGTGGAGGATGAGGCGGCGGCGACTGCCTTCTTCTGCTGCTTCTGGCTCACTCATTTTCGGCTCTCCGGTGCTGGGTGTAAAACAGTCGACGCAACAAATTGACTCAGACGAACAAGTGATTGGGAAATAGTTTTTAACTGCCACCTAACTTTTACCCTTGTTACAATTTACCACTCGAATCCTACTGAACCAGTTTATATTAGTTTAGATTTTCCCTCCGATTAAAAATAATAATTAAGAAAAGAATTACCTGAAAAGACTAATATACTCTTGAAACCGATTAGATGTATTACAGGTGCGTCATCTTCTGCGAAAATTAACTGAATAATTAAACGTAGGGTTTCGGGTTCCCGAAACGCATGGGTTAAAGAGGAAGCCAGTTGCAACCAGAGTCAGAAGTTTAAGCGGCTACAATGTTTGTAGCAGTAATTTCTGTAAACAAACTACCTCTGATGCCAAACTGACACACCCGGACCCGATTAGCCTTCCAGCTAAGGGTTGGAATGTGTTGGCCGACACTAAATTGACAATAAAACACCACCGCAAAGGTGACGAAATACTATCAACTTAATGACAAAGGCACAAGGAAATTGTGATGTGAATTATTTCGAACCGCTGCATTGCATGACATGACCGGATATGTGGAGCAATGACATCAGATGGAGAAAGAAGCATCAAAATTTGAGGAAAGATATTAGAGAAGAAGAGCAAAAGATGGATTCATAATGTGCTTTGCTTTGCACAGACTAATGTAAGAGTTGATGGAATAAGATTAACCAAAAAACAAAAAGAGGACAAGGGATCTCAATCCATCCTCCCAAAGAGAATCGATAACTTCTTCCGCCTGTTCCTCTTGCTACTATGACTTTAGATCTTCACTCTCGCCGCTCTTTACATTTGTTTCCAACTCTCATTGCAGTTTGCAGCCTCTACTCTGTTTCTCCTTAAGAACCTCTCTCTCTCCCCTACCCCCTCCTAAACTGCTCCGGCTTGATCGCTTGTTGTCATGCTGTCGGAGTGCTGATCTTCTTCTTCCTTAACGGCTGCTCTTCCACTGCCAGTTCCATCCAGACTTCCATTGCACTCATGGCTCTGAGCTTTCCCATCCGATTTTCCTTTTGGAGGAGTTGTGCTATGGTTGGATTTTGCAGACCCGCTCTCTCTCTCTGTCTGGGGAGGAATCTCAACAGAAGGGCTCATTTGAGTTGCAGTAGTAGGCAGCTGTTGAGGAGCTGATGAGTTACCCGAACCTGGGGGAGGGAGGAAAACACCAGTGCCAGGAGGAGGGATGCGAGGTGGAGGATGCCTGGGAGCTGCTGCCCATCCAGCCGAAACAGGTGGGATGGAAACTGCTCCGGCAAAAGGTATTGCTGGTGGTCCTACCGGAGGTGGCACAAACAATGGCTGGATGCCATTTGGAGGTGGAAGTTGGGACCGAATTGGTGGGGCTGGCAACACACCAGTTGTCGGAACTGCTGCATAGTGCTTGGGACCAGCAGGATGCCGAATGTGGCTTGGAGACCTACCTGATGGTTGACCCCAGTAGGATGACTGAGCTGGAGTAGGTGCAGGAAAACGTTGACCATCGCTCATCGTATTTTTCTTTGGTTGAGACTTTGTGAAAGTAACAAGTACGCGTTGCTTCCGTATAGAAGGTATTGCATGTTTAGCAAAGTCTGTGGATTTCCCTTGCAGCAAAAGGAGGGATCTGCAGTGTGATGATCAAAGACCTTATGTCAGGAATCTCAAACGAAAGTAAGCAGGCTTTAAGTGAAACGATGACCTGATTTCAAGTGCAGGTAAAGAGAAAGGATAAGATAATTTCATATGGATGTGAGAAAACTACGTCATGATCCTGAATTATGCAACTCATATTCTTCCGGCATGCAAAAGCAACAAGAAAAATTGTGTTCTATTAGTATAAATAATGTAATGATCTCTAATGGATGTGATACAGCCAACTTCTGGAAAAGCTTCAACTGTTACTAGGCCCTCAGAACTCAATATATCACTGCTAAGTAACCTTAACTTGATTCCAATACGTTTAAAACAATACTTCTCAGCCTACCATACTTTATTTAGAAATACGACAATAGAGTACATGACAGAGAAGCAGCAGCAAACCAAATAAAAGTCACACTGAAGAAGATAAATATTATCAAATGAGAGCAGTCAGAAAGGCTACCCAGGTGTAAGAGAGAGCTTGAGTGGGCCTCTATAATCCCCAGGATGGTCTGATACTAGTACTCTCCCAAAAGTCATGTCACATTCTGTCAGGAACAAGACGCAAATAGGCCTTCCAAACCAAGGTGGCCACGTGTGAGGGTGTGAATGATCTCCCTACAAATAATCGTCACCAAATTTCATAAAATTATGATTCTTAGAAAATTGTACAATTATAGAAACCTAGAACAAGAAAAAAAAAACAGTAAACCAATATCAACCTCATTATAGAAATCAATGATACAAGAGTCTGGCTTCACAGTAGTAACTTGCATCCCAGCTATGCGATCAATAACATCCTGCAGCAAGGAAGGGATAGCTTCTATTCTCCGATCTACAGATATAGGAAATCAACAAATGGCATTTGAATAAAATGTGAGTAGTCATTTCCTTATATTGGCAAAAAAATAATAAAACAAAATTCCAAAATTTCTATCAAAAGACCATTGTGAATTCCAACATGCCTTTGGAGGTTCCTGACGAAATTTCATCTTCAGATGGAGTATCAATAACAGGTAGGCCCAATTGAATCATTTCTCTTCCATGTCCCCTCATGGGCCTCTTTGAGACCACATATGTCTGACCTGCTTTGCATAACCAAAGAGATTATATATTATTGTCTGATAGAACATCACACTTTACCGCAAAACACTTTGAACTCAATGCTTCAGAGAAAAACCCAACTTACTTTGTAACACCAAAGGAATTTCACAACTACAATCAGTTAGAGCATGACAAGTGGATAGATAAGGGCGTTTTCTCCAATTGTGCTCTTAAAGTGTTTTTCTTTAAAACTTAAAGTTGTCTGGGTGTTCTTTCTAGTTTACTTAAAATAATACTCTACTAAGAGTTAATGAACACAAAATTTACCAAAATTTGATTAGTAATTAACACAAAAGTATTTCCCTGGCATGGTATCCACACAGATAACATAGACCATAGCGTACAAACAGTAATACCAAACACAAGTGATAATGGCATCGCTAACACTTACTTGTACTAGCATTGTGAAAACTTTCCTCAACAGGTTTCAGGGGTAAAACAACCAATAATCTTGCAGGTTAGGATAGCAAGGATCTAAGGAAAATATAAGAACAATGATCATAATAAAGGAATAAGTATTAAACTATGTGAGCTACTTCCATGAAAAATATAATGTAGACATTAATCCCCATATCCACCAGATAAAACTTGGATAACAAAACAACAATCAAAATGGTAAAACTAAGCCACCCAAACCCTCCCACTTAAAAAAAAAAGGGAACAAAAAATGTTTACAAGGGAAAGAGAAATACTCAACGAAGAATTAAAAAACAATATAAGTTCAGGCAATTATTTATTCAATCGCTTATTGAACCCTTTGCTTTGAGCTAAACAGTGACACAATTTTTTTTAAAGATCACTTCTTAAAGCACAGTGTTCAAAAACAAAGGTTTTAGGTAGTTTGAAAATATAATACAAAAACCACTAGAGACTAGTTTAATTGGAAGCTACATGACAAGGATGTTGACCAAAACTAACATGGGACAAATAGATTAAATATTTTGAATTTATATTAACAGCATAATAAAAAGGGCAAGAATATATGTGGCAGATTAAATACGCTTAGCACATGGGTAAGGATGATGGTGATGATTTGATCAGCTCAAACAGTGTTTAAATATCAAATTTCATGACAACCACATGGCGGATTTATGTTTAGTACTGGAATCAACCACAAGTTTTTCATATCTTCTGCTTATTTCTAAACACAAAGGATTATTAAACTCGCCTTGAAATTGTCCTCTTTTCCCTGCAACCCTTAAATCATTAGCCAAAGAAACAAGTTTGGAGACTTCTGTGTCACCAAGCAATCCTTCATACAATTTCAGTCCATCGACCACGTTAACCTGAAAAATAAACGTTAGAAAATCCATAACATACTTCAAGTTAAAAAGACAGTATCAAATGAGGTAACTACCGTCTTTCCATCTAATAACTCGTTGCCAACAAAAGTTTTAGGAACAATGGAGAGGTTCTGCTTCGCATTCTGAATTTGGATAGAATGTGATTCATTCTCTGGAAAAGATCAAAGAATCCCAAG